ATTATTATTATAGAACGTATATATGATGAAAAGATTTGTTTCTCGTAAATGTGATATTATTTCTACAAGCATATGTAAAGGGAGTAAATTTCTCATTCCAAATAACGGGTGTTTCTGGACTGAGCCTTATTAATTTGGGCTTGACTATAGGAAAATAAAGAAGAATAGTATGATGTTCACTTACATTTTACAATAATATTTGTACATTTATAAAGTTTTTATTTTTAATTTCAAATATATTAACTTTTACCATTTATGAATAAATTATTTGTGATTTTTTTTAATTATATTTTTTTCACTCATTTATGACTGTTTAGGAATGGTTTATATATGGTTTTATATTAAATATTATATATTTGCAAATTATTTAAAAAAGAATAGTAAACTCTTAAAGAGACCAAAATCAATGATACTGGTATATGAATTGATTGAAGGTTTATTTTTCATAGTAATTTCTTAACAAAAATTCTATGGAGTCGGTTTGTTTTATGCAGTCATCCACCACTTAATGTATTGACACATGTCTAAATTGGATTTATTACAAGACCCGTGCCAATACATTATTAATGAATAAGCCTGAATTGTTCCACAAATCGAGTCATCCAATGACTTTACAGCAAAACTGAATTTCTTAAACTCGAAAATGATTGGATGGAATTATTTGCAAAGGACCAATAATTAAGAGGTGGATTAACTTAAAACACTTCTTTGCCCAACAATTGCGCCCTAAAATCCCCAACAAAACTTAAAGTCATCAAGTCAAAAATTTTGAAAATCGGCGAAAGAACAAAGACCAACGAATAAAGTTTCACTTCATTCGAAAAATGAGGTGTCACAATCTCATTGGTTAAGCCACCTAACAAAATATCCTCGTCACCCTCATTTTATCACCAATTTGCCCACAGTTGACCGTCTTGGCCCTAAGTCGTCGCTTCTCCTCACACCTTAAACCACTCTGAGCACTCTCCCCCGCCCCCCCCGCCGCCGCCGCCGCCGCCGCTGCCGACAATGGCGACCTATCAAACTCCAACAGCCGCCTTCTTCCTCACCACCCTCCTCTCCATCCTCCTCGTTCCTCGCGCCGCCGTTAGCTCCCCCGATAATGTCGTCCCCGAGCTCGCCGCCCTCCGATCCGGCTCCCCGACCGGCGTCATCCGCCTCTCCGACGACCTCCTCCGCCGCATACTCTCCCTCCCTACCCCCCGCCCCTTCCACGCCCTCATCTTCTTCGATGCCAAGCACCTACACGCCAATTCCGAGCTCTCCCTCCCCTCCCTAAAATCCGAATTCTCCCTCCTCTCCTCCACCTCCCGATCCAACAACCCCGCCGCCGGAGACGGCTCCAGCCCCGACATCTTCTTCTTCAGCCTCGAATTCCAGGAAGCTCAGTCTTCCTTCGCCGTCTTCGGCATCAGCACCCTCCCCCACATCCGTCTCCTCCCTCCCGCCGCTGCCGACCCCAAAAACGAATCGATCCAGATGGAGCCCTCTGTCTTCTCCGGCCAGGCCGAATCCATGGCCCGATTCCTCGAATCCCGGGCCGGAATCTCGGTCGGCCCCATCCGCCGCCCCCCACCCATCTCCCGCAAGCAGATCCTCGTCATAGCCCCCATACTGATTGTCTCGATTTCGTACTTCATCAGAAATCTAATCGCCGGGAACACTTTCCTCCATGAAAAGTACGTGTGGATGGCCGGCGCCATTTTCGTCTACTTCTTCAGCGTATCTGGCGTGATGTTCAACATAATCAGGAAAATGCCGCTCTTCTTGACCGACAGGGAAAACCCCACGAAGATGGTCTACTTCTATCAGGGCTCCGGAATGCAGTTGGGGGCCGAGGGTTTTGCAGTCGGGTTCCTTTACTCGGCTGTCGGGCTTTTGCTGGCGTTTGCGACCCACGTGCTTGTGAAGGTGAAGAACTTGAATTTGCAAAGGGCGTTCATGGGGTTTGTGCTGGTTTTCTCGTTTTGGGCTGTTAGGAAGGTGATTTTCTTGGATAACTGGAAAACCGGCTATGGGATTCACGGGTACTGGCCATCGAGCTGGGAGTGAGAAGAACGTGACTGGGTAAGTTCTTTGATGAATTTGTAGGATTGAGTTGAACTGATGATGTAACTCAATATAGACAGCTTGAGTGTTTTTTACTTACAGACTCACATATGATCAATACAGACAATATTGGATACATTGTGCTTTCCCTGATGTTGCGAGATTATAATGTTATGTTTTTTGCTTTTCGAATATGAATAGGCGTTTTTGCTCTGTTTTCCTCCGACTGAATTTGCTTATTATCTATGCTGTATTTCGGTCTAAAGCTAGTATAGTTGATGTGCCCTTGTAGTTGGTCCAAAGCTCGAAAGTTTGGATTTTTTTTTTCTCAAATTTAGTGGTGTAGAAAGGTTAGCAGAGATGAATTGGTTTGCTATGATTCCATGAGGTGAAGTTTTGTTGCGACTACGTGTTATTCAGGATAGAATATTTTTTCATGAATCGGAACTAGTACAAGGTTATGACGTATCCTTATGATCCTATGCTTAAAACCATCAAACTTTCCCTCTTAAAATGGAATTTTGGTGTTTAATTACCACACGGCCATTTTGGTAATCTGGTTCTGAATTGATGGTAAAATGAACCTTATCACAGTTAGTTTTCCTTCGGAACCTCAATTCCATCGAGCCTCCTTCTTTTATTGAAAATCTTTCTCTATCTGACCAAGATTGGCTGGTCAAGTTGTAGTCCCCCCAGTGATTAAAATAGCGCGCCATGGCGTCGCCATGGCGCGAGGCGAGGCGAGGCTTCAACGCCTCATACCCTTGAGGCGAGGCGACCTTGTGA